TTAAACAATCTTTTGAGCGTAAAATTTGGCAATATGTATTTGAACCAACAATTCTACTTCTGGCAATTTGTCCTATAAAAACATGTTTACAAAACCACACAAAAATATATATACCAAGATGTTTATTACAGCATCATTTGTAATAGCAGAATGTAGTGCAAACATTATCAATGTCTATAGATAGGAAAATGGTTCAAAAATGATGGTACATCAATACAATGGACTACTAAGAAATTTAAAAAATGAGAAAGATTTATGGGTACTAACAGGAAAACGATACAACAAATTGTTAATCATAATACTCTGGTAAAGTGAATTACATTTCACTAATTCTTTTTTAACATATAACAGTTTTGTAAGCAGAATAAGCAAAGAAAATAAAAATAATACAAACTGATATGTGTGATGGCCCCTGGAATCCCTTCAGGGCTGCAGCAGATTGCCCCCTATACTCTCCACATATACTCATGCTTGCATTCAAAAACTTAAGTGCCGCAGCTAATCTTTGGCAAAGGAGCTAAGACCCTAGAATGGAGAAAGGAAAGTCTCTTCAATAAATGGTGCTGGGAAAACTGGACAGCCACATGCAAAAGAATGAAAGTAGACCATCTTCTTTCACCATACACAAAAATTAACTCAAAATGGATCAAAGACCTGAAGGTGAGACGTGGAGGAAAATATAGGTAGTACACTACTCATCATCAGCCATAAAGGGATTTTTTTGAATTCCATGTGTACTCAGACAAGGGAAACAAAAGAAAAAATAAACAAGTGGGACTTCATCAGATTAAAGAGAGTCTACAAGGCAAATGAAACCAGGATCAAAATGAATAGGGAACCCACCAGCTGGGAAAAAATATTTGCAAACCATATATCAGACAAGGGATTAATCTCCATAATATATAAAGAACTCACACCACTGAATAACAAAAAAACAAACAACTCAATCAAAAAATGGGCAGAGGAAATGAACAGACACTTCTCCAATTAAGATATACAGATGGCCAATAGGCACATGAAAAGATGTTCAACATCACTAGTCATCAGGGAAATGCAAATCAAAACCACACTAAGATATCATCTTATACTCGTTAGAATGGGTATAATCACCAAGACAAAAAGCAACAAATGCTGGAGAGGCTGTGGA